GGTTTCTTTTTGAGACAGGGTCTCCCTGTAGCCCCAGCTGGCCTGGAACTCACTATGTAGACCAGGCTGGCCTTGAACTCACAGAGATCCACCCGCCTTTGCCTCCCGAGTACTGGGAGAAAGATTACTGTATTTAAAGCAAACTTTTAGGCCCTCCCTGGGCAGAAACAGCAGCAACTATGGCTCCCTAGAAAAGCATCAGGTTTAAGCTGCCCACATACAGCCGTCTTACCAGCAATGACCTGCATTATGGCTGCTTGTCCGCTGCTCCTTCTACCACTGCTGTTATGAAAAGGTTTTTGTGACTAGCTGAACAGACTGTCCAGACCTCCCAGGGCAGGTACAAGTTGCCCACTGTCAGAAAAAAAAAAACATGGGAACTTATGTTGGCTCAGGCCTTCGGAGATGCAGGCACAGGAGACAGGATTAGACCTGTAAGGGCTTTCTTAGGGCAAGTGCTGGAGGGAGCCAGGTTGGCTGGATGACCTGAATCAGACCCAAGTTTGACCCAATGAAGGAGAGGGAGGGAATGGGAGGCTGGCATGTCCTAAACCAACCCAGAGTCCGAGGAAGATCCCACAAGGCCACAGGGCAGTGCTTGGGTCAGTCAGCTCAGAGGAGTTTCTGGAATGTCCTCAGTTATTGGTGGGTAGCCTGGGAAGCCCCACCTCTGTGCAAATACTAAAGAGGGCTAGGCTATCCAGAACCCTGGGGCACTTCTAATTCCTGGAGTTTGTGGATTTGGAGGCCCATTCCAGAAAGATACTAGATAAACAAAGCTAACTTAATGTCCACTAGGTCTCAAAGCTAGACTTTTCCAAGGACTTTGTTCTCTCTCTCTCTCTCTCTCTCTCTCTCTCTCTCTCGCTCTCTCGCTCTCTCACTCTCTCCGCTCATTCTCGCTCTTGCTCTCGCTCTCGCTCTCTCTTCCAAGTTGGCCCAAACCTCATGAAGATTCTCTTGCCTTAGACTCCTGAGTTTTAGGATTACAGACCGGAGCCGCTATACCCGGCTCTTCTGGTCTGGCTCTGTGTACCTTACCTCATTCAATTCTTTCAGCAGCTCAGTGAGTCAAGTTCTGTCTTTCTTCCCATTTCACAGGGAACTGAGGCTTGGAAGTTCTGAGGTTTGCACAAGATCCCTTCAACAGTCAGGTGCAGAGGAGATTTCACACCTTTGAGCATGGCTCCTTCCCTGAGACAGGGTTTGGGGTTTGTTGAGTAAGCTCTAGTTCTGACCACATGTCAGCTAACCTGTGTATGCTATTCACTTGGGTCGCTCTGTGTGCTTCACTGGCCTTTTGACCTGCTTTTTGAAGCCCGGGGAAATGGCCCAAAGTGGCCTCATGTACAGGTCATGTGTACGGTAGAGAGGGCGGCGTAACAGCAGAGCTGCACTTTGTGCATTTTACTCCATGTGTTTAATGTATGAATCTGACAACCAACACTCCTATCCAGACTCCACTGTTCTAAATATTTAGAATCACAACTGTAAGGCTACCTGATTTATTGCATTATGCAACACTACCTGCAGAAAGGTGGCTGACCAAATTACCCTCTCTATAATCGGCAGTGACTGTGGCGGTTAGCTGCTATTTGACAGCATTTGTTTCATTTGGAGCCAGCAGGAAGGTCCGGGCACTTTCACTTCCTGTCATTCTGATTTGCTCATTAGACAGTAGTTGAACTAGTGAAGCAGGGTTCAATGGGTGTTCTGAGAAGCTGGAGAGATCTGAAACCCATCTTCCTGTCTCTCAAATCACAGATTTTTTGTTGTTGTTTTGTTTTTTTGTGTGTGTGTTTTTGTTTTTGGTCTTTTTGAGACAGGGTTTCCCCGAAGCCCCAGATGGCCGGGAGCTTACTATGTAGACCAAGCTGGCCTTGAACTCACAGAGATCCCTGTCTCTGCCTCCCAAGTGCTAGGATTAAAGGCGTGTACCACCACGCCCAGCTAATCAC